AGCAAAAAAATCGGTGCTAAAACATAATACATTAGCCCTTTTTGCATATTTTCGGCCTCAGACCTTGGGCAATTTTTGGTCCTTTTTTCGGTGATCCAGCATCGGGGCTTGCTCCAGACTACCCTATTTTGATTTTTTTTGGCATTTGGGCACCATTTTAGCCTGTTTTTGCATTTTTTTTGTCCCAAGCTGGAAATTTTCGGACTTTTCTGCATCAGACATCAAGGAATTTCGCAATTTTCGGCCTCATACCTCTGGCCATTTTTAGGCCATTTTTCGGACTATTCTGCATTGGACATTGGGCATTTTTTGACAAAAAACGTACTTTTCGGCATGTAACATCCCCTAGGATAAACCAGGGTCCTGTCCGGCTGCCGCACCAATAAAGGCAAGTAGGTCTCGAAATTCTGGGCTTTCAACTACATTGAAAGACTTGAAATGAAAGCGATCAGTGATGCGTATGTGGTGAGGCAAGAGTGACCAACCTGGTCGTCGACAACAATCCAGCGCGCGAGACACTCAAGGAACCCCTCAATCGAGAACACTGGAACGCCGTCAGGTTTATCTCGAGCAGTAGTATTGCCAGCACTAGTAGAATCCAACGAGTGCTTCTCCCAACCCTTCAGTTTTTGAGTGACAACCATGCTTGACCATAATTTGGAGTGTTTTGCCGAAAGATGCATGCGGATCATACTCGCTATGCCAGCGTTGGTATCAATTTTCCAGCAACTCCATTTGGCTTCTCCACTTGGGGATGGTAAGACAGTGAATCAAGAATAAGCCAAGCAAACCAAACGTACTCGCACAGTTGACAGCTGGCGTAGTCGCTCTTGGGCTTGGTGTGGTGAAGCACCTTATCAATTGTGGATTCTTGAGGTTGATCTGGCCCATCGCGCGGTTGCATAAAGTACCAGATGTCAGAGGCAGCCTTAGTGTTCTCTGCTTTGCAGTCAGCATGCAGAACAGACCCAAAGTGTTCAGATGGTCGCGCTATTTTGTCTTCTGCCACCGGGGCTGGCTCCGCAATAGGAGGGCCAACGCCGCATGGAGCAGACAAAATGGGTGCCGGTGGACTGTCCGATTTTTTCCGTTTCGCATTGGATGGAGCCTTTCTGCCACCAGATTTTCGCTTTGACGGCACAGAGGGGACTGCAGGAGATGGGGCAATGAGTCCGTCGCGGGATCCAATCCTCAGAAAAACCTTGTCGAGAGTGTGGTCTTTTGTAGTTGTACCATGCGGTTGACGCGCAAGATAAATCAAGATCTACAGTCGCGTAGCGGGGTGGAATGGCCACGGGATGGCGGCGAATGAGTGAGCATGTGATGGTGATACCAGTGACTTGCCAAAATTTAACATAAACGTGACTGCCGGTCACTTGGCAGGTCATGTGTGCAAGCACGAGGCACTGCGCGCAGTACTGCGCAGTGACAGCGAAGTGGCTTTGCTGCGCTTGAGCGCAGCGAGGCGCGACTTTGCTGCAATCCACTGCAACTTCGCGGCAACACTACGTGAAGGGCTAGCTGTCGACCAAGAGCAGGGTGGCAGACCAATTGTCCAATGACGTATGAGAGAGTAAGGAAAAAGGGTTGAGCGTGTGGCTGCTCCAACGTAGCAGGAGTAGGCCGGGGGGTAGAGGTAGTATTAGTGAGGGTGGTAAAGAAAGTCAAAGGCATGTGACTTGCCTGGACATGCTCGCGCATGGCTTCGACTGCGACGCCCAGGTTTGCATCTGAAAACCTCTCTTGAGCACTGCACAGGTGATTGGCGTGGGATGTGGACCAGGGCCTTGATGTTGCTGGCTGTGGGAGAGAAAGCTTCTAAGATGAGGAACGAAAGGCAGGGTGGCGGCTTCGGTAGGCAATGAGCTGGAGGGTCGATTGGACACACCCTTCAACCCATACTGTTTTATCCAGGTGTGCCTTTGTAGCGAGAAAAAGAGGAAGGGGCCCCGGCTTCAACCCATACTGTTTTATCCACCGGGGTGTAGGGGGGGGGGGACGAGCGTGTTGGCTGTTGAACTATCTATCTTTTGAAAGCCAGGAGACCCCAGGTGCCAAGACCCTAATCACTTTGTCATGACTAAGCTGCACCTCCTTGACGGGGTTGAACGGGGGTATCATGCGTGGAGGATTGGAGAGCGAGAGGTCTCAGTGCTCGGCCAAGGATATTTGAACGCATGAGATTTTCAATGGTAGTAGCGGTATAGGTTACACATCTTGAAGCATAGGGAAATCAAGAAGGCTAGAAGCGCAGGACAGAGAAAAAGGGACTACCTGAGATACAATGATGAGCGTCAAGGTCTGCATTCAGGTACTGTAATGGGGGTCACTCCCCTTGCTAGCAATCATTCATCGATGTCTTCATCTGTCACAATGTCAAAGTCAAAACCGTCATCGCTAGACAGGTTGCCATCACCCCCTTGCGACAAAGCGGTGGGATGTTCCATTTCATAGGCAATCTGAGTGATAAACTCAACTCCCTGCTGTTCGACCAAGGACAGTGTCTAACATGATGATAAGTGCTAAGGAAGCGGGGAGAAACAGCAGGTCATCGAGACTTACCTTGTTCTGCTCTTTGAGAGCGGCCAGTACTATATCCATGGTGAGTGGGATGGTGCGAGGTTTGTGCTTGGTTTTGTACTTTTTCTTGCCTCGTGCAGCTTGAATTTCTGTGTGCTTATTTTTGAGGGCCTCGAACTCAGCCTTGTTAGGACAATAACAAAGGCAGTGTTGGCGTGCAGTGTTGACGCTCTTGAAGTTGCTAGAGTTTTTTTTTTATGAGTATAAGGCAGAAAGGGAAGTGGATGTGTAATGGGTGGCCTTACTTCTTTCCACAGCCTGCAGGACAGGTGTATATGTTGACATCTTCGGTTTTCATTTTCAGCAGGAGGAGGTCCCATTCAGTGTGGATTTCCCTGCGGATGGGGGATAAGTGGTTAGTAGAGAACGTGCGCAGGTGTAAATTGAGAGTCGCACATGTGACGATTAAACTTGGTCTGGTCGGGCCAAGCTCTGGGTGTTGCATTGGGTTTCAGTTCTGTGCAGAGATCGCAAAAAAGGCCACCTTGAGACTATAGGCCCCAGTATCAGAAAAAAGTTCAGAAATGCAGTTATTTCCTGGGTACGCACTGCAATCATCTCCGCACGAGCCATCTGCTGAATGGCAGGCCCGGCAATATACTGGAGGAGGGCTCCACGCAAGACGTGAGTGGGTACTTGAATGGCCTCTCCCTCTTGGGAGTCATCGAATAAGGAGGCCTCCTCAAACTGGATTTGATTGACGTTGATGACCTCCTCAGCATCCTCCTCGCTAGCCACAGGGGCGCGCCTTACACCCATCCCTGACTGCGCCCGCATCATTTTCTCTACCTCTGGCATTACAGGCTCAAGGTCTTCATCGTCCTCATCCACAAAGCCTCTGGCATCAGCTGATGGGAGAGCGACTGGTGTTGGGAGTCCTGCTGGTGGAACATATGGGGGCCTGGCGTGGGAAACCGTAGGCTCAGATGGTTGAGCTGGCGTGGAGGAGGAGGAAGAGGCGTGAATAGGCCCAGTGGATGAAGTGAAGTTAGACGTTGGTGCTGGCTGGGGAGCTGAAGTACAAGAGGAGGGGGCAGTTTGACCACGATTGCTGGGCCTGTGA